GCGTCGTTCCAGCACGGACCCGACGCTATTGCGGCTTGCCAAGAACATGTCATGAACCGCAACGTCGAAGGTCTGTTGCGTGAGATGATTCGCCTCAAGGAGATCTTAGAACGCATGCCCAATGCATTCCATACCATCAACACCAACCCGAACTCGGGTGAGAATTACGTCCCCGGCCATCAGTGGGTGCGATGGGGCAAGTTCTCGGCACCCTTAAGCAAGCGCTGCCCCGCATCTTCGGGCCTACAGTTCCCACCCTTTCTCGTCATGGACGCCTTCTTGGGACGCAAGAAATACGACTCTTTCTTGGGCAAGGAAGGCCTCCATCTTCGGGCTTGGCTCCCCTCAAACCTCAGAGCCTTCATCGCTGCCATCGAGTACCACTACCGCATTCCCGAGTTCGTTCAGCAGTCGGGCGACCATCGGCTGATGGGAGTGCTTGATGGCATCATCGAAGCCTACACGGGAGAGCGCGGGTTCATGGGCACGCATCGGTACAAGGTTTTTGGCATCCTTGAGATCGCCAGCAAGACGGGCCGGACGGAGACCAATGGCTTGTCTGGCGCGCCGGATTCGAACGGCAGGCCTTGGGAGGAAACCCACAAGCAGTTCTCCGAGGCGATGAAGGAACGGCTCGAACCGTTCCGTGGGGATTTGGCAGTCGAGCCGCACGAGATGCGTGGGACCTTCGAGGAGTGTCGCTACAGGTCTCGAATCCTCAGCCGCTCTTTTGTTGATAACGATCCGAATCGCTCCATCGCTATGGTGACCCTTGACTTGAAAAACACCGGGATCACCTTCCAGCCCGGCGATCGGCTCGCGGTTATGCCCCTGAACAGCTGGGATGAATGCGCCAAGGTCGCCGCCGCTTTAGGTCTTGGCGATTACCTCAACTACCGGGTCAGCCTCAACGCACAGTGGAAGCGATTTGCGCAGCATATCGGATCCGTATCACACACTTCAACCCCGCAGCTGACAGTCGAGGACGTCCTCAGACGCGGTCATCTTGCACCTATCACCAAGGAGCTTGCGCTGAAGGTGCACGACATGCTTCGCGCCTCATCTAATACGATCCTGCAGGTCTTGGCAACTACTGAGTGGCCGGTCAGGGGGTCACTTGGTGACCTGCTTCAGGCCGCCTTGGCGGATACCAACCCGCACATTTGGGACCAAGCCTTTGACCTCACGGGAGACATGGCCTGGCTAACAGATCTGATCCCTGTCGAAGTTCCCAGAACCTATTCCATCTCCAACTATTCGCAAGAGCTTCTTCCATCGGCCGTTGATTTGAGCATCTCCCGAGCAGAGTACAAGCTGTGCTCGACATTCGCTGGAACCAACGAGGTTCTGCGAGCCGGTGTCGGCAGCGGCTTTCTGAACCCCTTCCTCAACTCGAGCGACGAGTTGATCGAATCAGATGAAGACGTTCTTATCGGCGTCTCCAGGCCTCTGAACTTCCAGCTGCCCATAGACAGAGCGGCGCCGTGCGCATACTTTGCCGGAGGAAGCGGTATCGCGCCTTTCCGAAGCTTCTGGCAAGCCCGCCTCGCCTCTCACAACAACGCGGCCGGCAGAGACATCCTGTACCTGGGAGTTCAGTCTCGTGACAAGTTCTGCTACGAGGAGGAACTTCGGGATTATGTCGAAGCCGGACTCATGGAAGTCCATCTCGCCTTCTCCCGAGACACCAGGGGCCTCGCGTATGATCGTCGCACCCACGATCTCATTGAGAAGGAGATGCCAACCCGGTACATTGACGCTCTCATCGTTGAACAAGCTGCCACCATTTCAGATCTCGTCATGTCCAAGAAGCAAGGAGGTCTGGGTGGCTACCTCTACGTCTGCGGCTCCGTCGCCGTCTTTGACTCGGTCATGAATGGCATCCGCCGGGCCATCTACAACCACTGTAGTGCCACCATGGAGACGGCAGACACCATCATCAACAGGGCCTTTGCTGAACGCCGTTTCATGCTCGACGTGTTCATGACGCCGAAGCCCATGCCTTGCAACCTCCCCACCATTCCGCTCTCTCAGCTCGCCCGCCATACCGGCCATCGGCCTGACAGCCGCATGTGGATAGGTGTTCACGGTAGTGTGTACGACGTGACAGACTTTTGCCCTATGCATCCTGGTGGTACCTTCATCATCAAGTCCAATGCCGGTGTTGACTGCTCCAAGTCATTCGACAACCTCGCCCACACCAACAACCCGGAAGTCAGCAGCCTCCTCACCAAGTACTTTGTTGGTCAGCTGACACCCAAGCCGGACTTCCACACGGTTCCCGAGCTCGGAGATCTTTACGATCTGTGGTCCACGTATCTACGCGTCACGGTTGAGACTCTGGTTGCCCACCAGTTCGAAATGTACGAGATCATGGGAGCTAGTGATGATGGAACCAGTGACAAGTATCTCCGAGGCTCGGAAAATGTGTGGTCGCGGGAGAACCTTGTCAACATCGGTCTCGGCGTCCGCATGTTCTACGACTACCAGTCTCGTCTCCTCCAGGGCGGCTTCTCTGCACTTTTTGGGCCCAAGCTACAGGAACTTGTTCTCAAGCTCTCTTTTACTCTTGCAGACGCAGCAGGTAGCGGCGAGAGCATGCGGCTGCCGGACGTGCTCGGCATCATCGCCCGCGCAAAAACGTCGCCGGAAGCGGTTACTACTTCTCAGGAGGTTGCTCTTGTTGGCCAATTCGTCTGCGAAAGCAGCAGCAATGTCCGCTTTGCCGAACGGGGAATCTTCAACTATGCCGCCAAGACTGTTGAACTGGATATTGAGCTGCTTGAGGACATTCGTGAAGAAGCTTGCCACGGCATGGATGCTTTCGAAAGCGTCATGGCTATGGAGGCGGGCAGCGATGAGCAAAGGCTAACCGTTCTGGCATCCTTCCTCATGCAGACCCTCGAACGGATGGCAAGGAGACTGGAAGTGTTCTACTCCAAACTCTCACAGCTCAAGGTGTACACACCTCAGCTGGAGCGCAATCCGGCGAGGACGCGGTGGAATCTTGTGCGAAGAAAGATCAAGGACGGATCCTTCTTCATCCTGACCCAGGAGACGGTTCTGGGTGCCGCGCCAGCTTACGTCTCTGCTCAGCAGCGAAAGACGGGTGTGGATTTTGACAGCGTGATGAGCCGGATCCAGGCGAGCATTCGGAGTGCTCCCAAGCCCGGGCCAGCACCTCAGACTCTCAACGCAATGCACTTGGCAAGATCAATCACTCCACCTGTGGAAACCAACGCAATGGCTACGCACGAGAACAACACGGCAATGAAGGCCATGTCTAGTTTTATCGATGCCAACATGCGCTCAATCCGAAGACTGAGCAAGCTTCCTTCCAATCTGTCTTTTGAACAGATCCAGGCGGCTATGCAGCAACAGAACGATCATGACAGGGTCGGAAGGTCAGGACGCCCTCCGACACCTCCGTCAAGCTCTAGCACCATATCACCGCACATGCGAGCATCTTCTCGAGCTCCATCAATGGAGAGAATGATGGCCTCATATAACAACAGGGCCGCAATGCACTCCTCAAGGGGCTCACAATCCTCTGCGCCAGGGGGTCATGCTCACAGCTTTGGCATCACAGGAATCCATGCCGTTCGATCCCCACCAACGCCGCCACTAGATGCGGCGACGGCTATGAGCGCCATGATGGGAAAACTCAACGTGCGGTCTAGAGGCATGTCAGTGCCACCGTCGCCTCACGGGAGCGTGACTTCTGTAGGAAGTGAGAGAAGTCGAACCGGGAGGAGCATGAGTGTGAGGTCTGCATCGCAGCACCAGGGTCTCCACGCGACGAGGTTGTCGACAAACTCTTTGAGGTCGTTTCGATTGGGAAATTCAGGCAGTGAGAGGTTGCCGTTGAAGATTGCCCCAACTTTTTAGTCATTCTTGACTTCTCGTATATTCTTTATTATTGTATGTTTTCTCTGACTGACGTGTGGATATACATGTATGTTGGGGATTTTTTCAGTTAGAACCATTTTCAAGGCAACTTGAATTAAATTGGATATTTTGTCACCAGGCATTCGCTTTTCTTTTGTCATTCTTCGCGTCGTGACCCGGTGAGTGGTGACACCATGCTGCTTGCCTGCTTGTCTGCATCCCAAAAAAAAAATAAAAAAAAATTGCATAGGTGTTGATCTGGCAGAATGCCGTCAAGGGGCGGCAATTCTGGAGGTCTCCCAAACGTTTGACACGAAAGGTGGGAGTCAACCTTGCAGCAAAATACGTAACTTCAATGAGGGGCATCGACGCGACAGAATTGTTTTCCTCATTCTTTGATCGTGTTTTGATCCTGGAAACATTGCAGCTTGACTTGGTCAATACTCCTATTATTATTTTTTTCCCTTAATATGTGCTGAGATGTGCATGCACCATTTTGCCGAACATGAAAAGAAGCAAACAAGATGTTGTCGTGCTGTGCGATTCAAGACAAATAGAATGTGTCGACAACTGAGTCACCAACCAACTTGAAATAAAACAAGTGGCCCCAAACAACAAAGCAAAGGATATTTGGAGCTCTGGGGTTGGGTCACGAAGTTGAGTCATGTTGATCGATTGATAGCTAAATTGTGACACATTCAAGACTGGGTTCCGTTAGGTTTGAGTCATGGTGTAATTTTTACTTGGGCAAAGCAAGCAATGGGGGATTATTGAGTGAGTGGGAGGGGGACATAAATAGAATGAAAAAATTCCGGCACATCAAAATTTTTTTTCTTTTCTACTCAAGCTTCGCACCTTGATCATCGCCATCATCATCATCATCATCATCATTTAAAATCCTAGTGTGAACATGGCCTTTTTAAGAAGAGGGTAAGGGGGTTCTTATTCATGTCCATATGCAAAACGAGCTGGAACAAAGGGGGTGTTGGTAATCCACTTTTACCCCTTTATGCACGCAATAGGGGTTGCTGCATTTGAACTTTTCCTGGATCACACTGGCGAATTCGTACAAGGGATGCAATTTGGATTAGGGGTTTCAATAACATATCTCAGGGCGTGTGGCTCAGTTGGTAGAGCGCCCGCTTAGCATAAATCTTCGGATTCAGCATGCGGAAGGTCCCCGGTTCGATTCCGGGCTCGTCCATAAGTTTTTGTCCTTTTTTCTTTCCCCCTTCTGCTCACTGAGGTTTTTCACTTTTATTTTTTTTTTCTCCTGCCATCGAGTAATATAAAGATACAACATGCAAAGTCATACTATACCTTGTAAATACACTGTTTTTGAGAGATCCACATCCATCCAGCTCACAGCACAAACTCATCGTGCAGCTGCTCATGAATCATCTCGGCTTCACCTACTCCTGCAGGTATCACCCCCGCCTCCCGCGTGTCCGGCGAGGTTTTGACATGATGCCGAACTACAGTCAGCACTCTGCTACTCCAACTAAAACCAGACACCGCGATGACATACCAGTCCTCAAAGTCTCAGCCTAAAACAATACCGCCGCCTCTGGCCCCTCGACTTCGCAGAGACCACACTTTGAACAAGAATATCAATAAAGCGTCGTGAAAAAATCACACATCGAATGCAGACCCATCCTCTATATCTCTTCCAACTCTTGACCTACATTTAGAACGATCCGCTACTGCGCAGATCGCAGCTCCATTTGTTTTTCATTTCTCACTCTTCACAGCCATTAAACGATTCTTCGCATACAAAACAGTTGTGCGACCTCCAGGTCGAGAAGCCGAAAAGCAATCTTCTCATTAACTCGCGCCCACATACGTGAGGGTTAGTATCCGAAGAAGGTGAACAAATAAGCCTGTGGGCTTTGGTTGTCTTGCCGGTGTCGGTAAACAGGACGGGCAAGGACAAATGACAATGTTCAAAAAAATTATTTCTCAGCGTAAGGGAAAGATTTGGCACCTAATTATAGTCCGTTTACAGAGACCATATCCCAGGAAGCCCAATTCCACTTTTATTCCTCCAACACATCTTTGTCCTTCTCTCGTTCCCCCTTCACCGCGACTGGATTAACCAGATCGGTCAAAAAAATAGCAATTCGATGCGACAGACTTACCTACCATCATCCTTGCGACAAACCCACAGACTCTAACGACAAATCTCATCAGCTTCCAAAACACAACGATCAAGTCCTGCATTTTTCAAAGGGTGACTCTGCACGCCGGGGGCGCGCGAGAGGCTCCAGCTGCCACTCAGTGTCGAGCCGTCCTGAGGGGCGAGCTGAACTCGTGCCGGATCAAACGAAGCAGCGCAGTGCAAAAAATGCAGGGACCCCCTTCCCCCAATGCCATCCATTGGCCCCGGCCTTGCTTGGTGGACATTTCCAGCCAGTTCCGAACTTACTAGTTATATTTCCTCCCCGTTCACGCTCAAGAAGGCCTGCCAACAACCTGGATAACTTTTGGCTTGCTTGGCTAGACGGCCGGCGTAAGAGAGCTTCGTCATCTGTGCAGTGCCGTACCGCTGGCTGGAACCGTAACGGTGACCAGCTGGAGGTTTTGGAAGCGATGCCGGCAGGAGCTTTTGATATAGTAAACCGGTCAGTATTTTTAAGCACATTATGGGCTGTGAGCTATGAGCTGCAGTTGCTCTCGAAAAAAAACTCATATTCAGCCCGTCATTTGAAGCTTTTCCAACGGGGCGAGGCTGAACAGACAGGCAGGTACTCTTGTATTTACGCCCAGGCTGTCTCGCGGCCTCGGTGAAGCAGGACCGGAGCAAAGGATAAAGACAAAAAGTTGGAATGTCATATTTCGTGTTCTGGACGGGGTAATGATTTCATCACCCCCCCTCCCCTCCTCCACAAAACAGTTGCTAATGACCCCACGGCAGACATCCATGGGCGCGCCAACTCCAGTGTTACAGCAGCGCAACGCAACACAAGGAGCAATTCGACCTTGCACCTCAAGATCAGAGGCATATCGTTGCCCAACGAGAACACCAACTCACCCGTGTCACGCAAGGCCCGCAAGGCCCGCAAGGCCCTCAGAATTAATACGGCCCGCCACAATTATCGCGACAATCAACCCACCGCTTACGAAGTCGATGACCGTCTCGTACCCGCACGCGAGATTACACTTTGTCGGTGTCATCTTTACTTTAGATCTTTGGACGTTTATTGAAGTGACTGCAAGTAAACAAACTTGCCTGGACATGAATACTTTGTGAGAGGTTCCTTAATTTTTTTTTTACCTATTAGTTCGGACGAAACCGCATACTTGGCGGGTCTACCAGACCCGCCAAGTACCTTCACCCTTCAAGAACGTGTCCCAAGAGAAGAGGAAGAATCAGTCACCTTACCAAACACTGTCAAACCAAGCCAAAGTTGCGCCAAGTCGTCGTTGGGCAGTTTTTTTCCAGTGCCAACCTGCAAATAGAGAAACAACGTCCAAATTGCTGGAGATATCTAGCAGCTGACGGTTTGGTTGGTTTAGTTGATGTCTTAAAACATTTCTACCTAAGAGAAAACAAAAAAAAAAAAAAAAAAAAAAAAGACATGCACCGTGACGGTTGAGAACGGCATCAATAAAATTTTTAGATGAGACTAAATAAGATGTGGAGAGAGAGGGGATAGCAGAGCGAGGCTGAATATCTCTCACCACCGAGTGGCTGGCCCAAGCTGCGTTAACACATCCCATTTCCCCTCCTAATTCTGCAAGTTTCGTAAAATCGAACCATTATTGACCGAGACCTTTGTTTTGGAGCTGAATCTCGTCACATGCACGTCCCTAAAAGATTAATTGACAGCCACACCCCCAATAATATTGCTGCTTAGCTCTAATCCATCTACCTAGGTACTCAGTCCATGATTTTTTTTTGGTATTTTGTTTTTGTTCATGGCCCACAGACCGCCCAAGCTTTCATCAAAACTCCCCTCGCAGCTTCCACAGTCTGATACTTGAATCTCTTTTTTTTTTTGTGTATTGTCTCTGTAAAGAACAGAGATCCTGGCATGTACGTCCTTACTTGCTCGAGATCTCGAGCCACTTTGAAGTTACTCTTGCTCCTCCTGGGCGTCGCTCAAGAAACCTGCCGACAACCTGGGAAACCTTGGCCTGCTTGGCCAAACGACGTAACAGAGCTTCGTCATCTGTTGTCGCATTGCCAGCTGGAACCGTAAGGGCGATCATCTGGAGGTTCTGGAAACGATGCCAGGAGCTTTGGATTTTTGAACTGGTCAAAATATCAAGCAAGTCACGGGTAGGAAGTTGCAGCTGCTGTTGGAACTCATATTCAATCGTCCGGAGACCCTCAAAACAGCGGGACTTGATCGTATTTTGAAGGCTGACGAGATGTGTTGATATGTTGTGTGGGTTTGTCGCAACAATGACGGAGAGGTGTCGTATCGAATTACTATTCTTACGGCCGATGTGGTTAATCCAAGCCCGGTGAGAGGGAATGTGTAGCGCGAAGGTGTTGGCGGAGTAAAGGTAAAACTGGGCTTCCTGCGAAATGGCCTTGTTTACGCGAAGCAGTCCAATACCGTCTCGATGGGTATATGCAGCCGGACTAATCTTGTCTTCGTTCTTTAGGAGGTAGTGGTAAATCTGGATACGAATCTCGGTGGGGAGGTTGAGAAACTGAGCCCTCCTTGGAAGAAGCTGCTGCGTCGCTTCTTCAAACTCCTCTCGCGTCCCGTCCTGTTCGTGGAACGGCTCGGCCATCTTTTTGTCGTCGTTTTAGGCCTGTTGGATGGACAACAGTTAGCGACAGGGTCCTCTTCAGAAGAATAGCATACCCACCAAGTTCTCAGATGCGGATGTTGATGGACGTGGCCAACAATGGGACCAATCGGAGAAAAGGTTTGTCCCGAAACGAACAAGAAAAGAGAGGGCCACCCTGATTGTGCTTGCGTCAGTGGTTTGTCCTTCGGGATCTCTGGCTGGAGGATGGAGTGCTCCAAGGTAGAATATTTGGTCGTCAAACTTCTGCCTTTGTTTGCATCGACAGATCGGAGATGAGAGAAAGTAGACGTCCAATGGCCTGGCGGATTGTTTGGAGGTTCCAGGTAAACTGTGCAATAATCATGTCGGGACAAGAATGGTGCAGATTCAGCCCAGCCATGGAGGGAAGATCCGGAAACTGCAGCAAAAGTTGTCGCCGACGCACTCGCAAATCCAGAATCTTTCCGCTCTTACTGACGGGAGGAAGGTGGCAACAACTGCAACAGCGGATGAATATTTACCAGGTCCCCAGGCGGTCCTGCTGCAGTCGTACCTTCCAAGCCATCCAATAGACCTCGAGCTTGTATTTTACTGTATATAAGATTCGTCTAAACTTTTAAAAAAAACACTTAGCGACCTGTAAAAAAACAGACGCCAAAAACTCTTGACGATCTTTTGTCTTCTCCCCTCTTGAGCTGTTTTTCTCTCCCTGTTCCACGACTTTACTGCGTCCTTATCTCCTTGGCCCGCAAGTATCATATTATTCTCCGATCATATCCACGCAACCATCCAGCATGAGCGGTATGGCCTCCACAATACTAGAAAATGTAAAGTTGAGGTGGAACTTGTACTTTAAGGCACAGAAATTCGGTCGAAGCAGCGCGAGTGAATGGGTAGTATTTTAAAAGTACCGAGACAAAGTAACCTAGGAATTGCATTTTACTGAGTGGGTGCAAAATCCGTCTGAACTTTTGAAACAAATTCAATAGACTGTAAATTATTGTTAAAAAAATCTTCATAACTTTTTATCGTCCCCCTCTCGATCTTCTTCTTTTCTTGTCTTTACAACCTTCCACTCCAATATACCAGGTACGTCTCGATGTTATATATCAACAGCCAGTGTTTTATCCTTTTCTGCACTTTTTCTTTTCCCCGTTGGTTTAAATGTATTGACTTTGCTTTGAGTACCATGCCTCCAGAGGCAGCCGGGGACCGCTCCGTGAGCGCGTTGGAGCGGCTACCTCTAGAACTTCGCCGCAATATTTACGAATACTTATTCGATACCCACGGTCAAGTCAGACCTGGTATCGGTAGTACTGTCAAGGCATTCGGTCTTCTTCTGGTCAATAAGGCCATTTCTCAAGACGCCAGATACCATCTATACTCGACAAACACCTTTCGGGTGGCAGCCCCTATCGACGGCGGCTGTTTCAACCGCATCGGTCGGTTCAATAGCAA